ACCAAGCATATCTGCAACAGGTGGGCTTCCAAAGTTGATCTCAGGAAACAGCCAGGCTCCTATGGACTTAGGTGACATAAAGGACTGTATTGGAGATTGCTACACCTTAATGAGCACATGGCTTGTTTATAAAGAGCAATAAATTAGAAGCTGGAGAAAACAGCTGAGTCCCATTTGAGTATTGTTGCACTCCATAATTGTTGCACTCCATCACCGGAACCCTTTCTCATTTTTCCATTTGATGTGCATATTTACAGTATATGCATGCCTGTCCTGCCTTTTTGCATGTCCATGATGTTATTAGGATTGCAAATTGCACTGTAATTACTGGGAAATTTGTGTGGAGGAGAAAGGAGTTTCTTAAAGGAATAATTAGAATTGACAAGAGTTTGTAACATTATTATAAATGTATTCCAAACCACTAATATAAAACAATAGGTATATTGATTTGGAATGATGCTGATCATATTCACACCATGCATTTAAATTGCTCTCATACCACTTTAGTTGTGGCTTCAAATATTCACGAAAACTATAGTTCGCTAAGTGCCTCATAACAACTCCAGGGCTGCCACATGTCCAGATTCTCCTGGATGTTACCAGGATTTCAAAGGTAGAAATGATGTCCGGGGGGGAATTTCTGAAATGTGTCGCTTTGTCCTGGATCTCAGGCAAGTCAATCGAAAAAGCACATTTTTTGTCGTTTTTGTAAGAAAAACCTGAACAATTTTGGGGTTTGTCTTAAAAAAAAAAGTGAACAACTTTTGGGGGTGTCCTGGTTTTTACTTTTTGAAATATGGCAACCCTCAACCATTCTCAGTGCCCTTAACAAACTAGAAGAAGAAAAGGCAGAAGAGTTTGGATTTGATATCCTGTTTTATCACTACCCTAAGGAGTCTCAAAGCGGCTAACATTCTCCTTTCCCTTCCTCCCCCACAACAAACACTCTGTGAGGTGAGTGGGGCTGAGAGACTTGAGAGAAGTGTGACTGGCCCAAGGTCACCCAGCAGCTGCATGTGGAGGAGTGGAGACACGAACCCGGTTCACCAGATTACGAGTCCACCGCTCTTAACCACTACACCGCACTGGCTCTACAGCTATTTGGGGTATAACAGTGCTTTAAATGGAAGGAGTGGTCACAGATAAAATGGGTTTCACCATACATGTCCCAATTATTCTAATAGGGAATTCCCGTTCAGAAGTTCTACCAATGCATGAGTAGCCACATCTCCGATGTGATGCATGTATCCTAGTGTTCATGTGTACAATGCAAATGTCTATAAGGCAGGGAGGGGAGCTTTGGCCCATCCCATGATATCTCTGGGTCCCAGCAGGGCTAGCAGTCATGACTCCACTCACCACTTATGTTTCGGTCTTATACATGGGTAGGCAAACTAAGGCTGGGGGCCGGATCCGGCCCAATCGTTTTCTAAATCCGGCCCGTGGACAGTCAGTGTGTTTTTACATGAGTAGAATGTGTCCTTTTATTTAAAATGCATCTGTGGGTTATTTGTGGGGCCTGCCTGGTGTTTTTACATGGTTAGAATGTGTGCTTTTATTTAAAATGCATCCATGGGTTATTTGGGGCATAGGAATTCGTTCATTTTTTTTTTTTTCAAAATATAGTCTACCCACCCACAAGGTCTGAGGGACAATGGACCGGCCCCCTGCTGAAAAAGTTTGCTCACCCCTGGTCATATATAGGAGTATATCTTTGGAATAGGGCTACTACTTGTTCGGTGTCTTGGCTCCCGTCCTCCCCATCCTCTGAATCAGGATTGCTCTCTTCTCCAGCTTCTTTCTGCTGACTAAACTTATTGCCTCTCCAGCTCCTGATACCTCCTACTGCCTATCTTCTTCCTCTTCTCCATCTGACCACCTATCATTGTTCCTGGGCTCTGAGCCTTCTCCTGGGGGTTCCCCAGTTGGTGCCTCCAACCATTCCTCTACATCCAGCCAGTCCATGACACTACTGCCTTCTGACTGTTATTTTTTGGGTTCACCTGGAAGCCCTAACTTGAAACGAAAATATTTTGACAGTAGCTCCCCTTCCCCCAAGCCCTCTAATGCTTTTTTAGGGAACATAAATTAGAATGTTTGAAAAGTTGTGCCTTAATGATTGATTTAAAAGGGTTTGGGGTTTTTTTGCCATTTCAGTGCAAAATTTATGACTTTTTGTTTTTTTTGTATTGACAGAGTTTCCTCTGCTCTTTGGATTCTCTCTTTTCCTCCTGTTAGGCATCTTAATGACTTTAGATTTTATATTAGTCAGAGCTGAGGATCATCTTCCCTGTGAATGGCTTTTGTGCCCTTTCATTTGATTGGTTCACACAGAAACCACCAAGAGGCTGCATGAATCACTCTGACTCATTACCTTCCAGTAATAGGCTGGCCTTTTTTCAATTTCATCTGACTGCAAATGTGATTTGAAACTTTTTTTATGTATTATCTTCCAAACTTGAGCTGACAAGAGAATAAATCCAAGACAAAGGGTTTTAATTTTTTCCTTCCCTTCAGACTGGAAATTTTTACCACTAAAAATTCCCAAAATTGAGCCACATCTGTAATTTATACTAATTATGGGAGGATTATTTTCATCAGCTATTGATTAAAACAGAGATGTTTGAACTGAGTTTATGTGACCTTCAAATGATATAAATCAGCATGCCTTCATTACACTTAATACTAATAAAGTTGATGCTCTCAGACGTATAATAACTCAAAGGTCTGTTTATGTCCCTTTTAAACTTTTTTTTTTTTTTGCAATGGAGGGAAGAAATTAAATTATGCTTGTTACTCAGTTTTTCCATCTGTGAAATGGGGTGTGTGTGATGTCATTTCAAGCCTTTTGAATATTTTGTATCTTTAGAGCTGAAGTTCCTGTATACATGCAGAAAAGTTAACTCACAGCTTGAAATGGAATTGAAAACATCTCTATTTAGTTTATTTACCACACACACACACACACACACACACACACACACAAAATTTGGCTAGTTAGTCCAAATCAATATGTGAAATTCATTCCTCTGTCCCTCCGTCTATTGCTTCTTTGCAGTAGAGTTAAATTGTAAAGTGAATTGTGAGCTTCCAATTCACAAAGCTACATTTATAAGAAAACAGCAGATATAATCCTTCTGCGAGGATTTAGAGGCTTTAGGCCTAGTGATTCTGTATTACTTTGGCTATTTCCTTTCCCATTACCACATCTCTCTTGCCTGCCCGCTTCCTTCCTGTCAACAGTATGCAGCCTATCATGCCTATAGGCAGTATGGAGAAGATTTGCCTCAGCCCTACTCATTTCTTAGCTACTCTGTTGTTCTACAGATCCATGCTTCTGCCACCAAGGGTTTCTGCAGGTCCCAAACTCACTGCATGTTTCATCCCATTCCCTTTAACCAGCCTCACACAACACTCTGCCATGCACACCATCCCACCCAGCCCCTGACCTTAAACCATGGGTTTCCCCCACATCCTCTCATTAACACCCACTTTTCCAATCAGCTCTGTCCTTTCTGCTCCTTTCCTTTCATCTTCCCTTTCCTCACATTCCCTTTCCTTCGCCTTCTTCCTACTTTGCACTGTTCCCTCAGCCACCTTGCCCCTGGGCTCCTCCAAGCAGTTTGGGATGTTGGAGAATTCTGCCTTAAGTGGACACAGATATGGAAATCCTTCTCTACTCTCATATTCACTCAGCATTCAGGAATGGTGTTTCTCAAAGCATATTGCAACCGTAGGGCTTTTGTTTTTGTAAAGTCTGCAGAGTATGTGTAAGTATTTGCATACAATTTAATTAATAATTATTAATTAATGTCACATTTCTTACTGGGCCTCTTTGATGTTTCCTCAGCAAACTTTAACTTGTAATATTTATACATGCGGGAGGGGGGGACTGCTATAACCCTGTGGGGAGATGGTTAATTTATGGGTCACTAGCTGCTTTGTTTACTTTAAAGAAAGAACACAGAGGAAAGATATGAGGAAGATAATGCGGCCATGTGTGACACAAGGATTTGCTGATGACTGGGAGAGGGCCTGCCAAGGTGGATGAGAGTCCCAAATGCATGTCAGGCCTTTCCTTGATATTATGCAGTGGTGAGCTTCAGCAGCTGACTCATCGTGCCTAATTAATATTGTTATTGAATAAATAAATGGGGTAGATGGATGAAGGGCAAGAGTGTTCAAATCCAGGTTAAAAACATACCCACACAATGCACAACTTCTAGAAGCACACAGCACTTTTAAATGTAGCATTGCAATAGTATGAATGGGATTAGTTACTTGAATTTATTGTTGGTTTTAGTAGACTATTGGTCCTAGAACAATAGGATTCAGAATGCAGCAGTCTGATTGGTCCTAGAACAATGCAGCAGTATGATTGGTCTGCAAGAGCCACCCAATCCAGCTCCAGGTGGAAATGAATCCACAACCTGATTGGCCTACAGGAGAATCCTGGAATTAGCCAATCAGGTGCAGCCCATTGTGTAAATAATGTATATAAAGCAGATATATTGAGGGAACTTTCATTCCTCCTCACTACTATGAGCTGAATAAAGAGCATGAAATCCACTCTTGACTCTGAGTATATTTCAGTTTCAATTTTTAAAAAAGCTTTTAACCCCATTTTCTTGATAATGTTTATGTTTAGGGTGTTTTTTTTAAGGTTTTATTACATTATCTAAACTTTGTTAAACAAAACAAAACAGGGAGGGATGTTTTGGGGAGGCAGCAAAGTATAGGGCAAATACAGAGACTGACAATATAGGTATAATAGAAAACATAATGGATACACTCAAATGCTGTGAAATTATGTAACAAGTAGTCTAGTCTACGGCAAATACTATGTATAATTTTGTTGCACTTAAAAAGCAAAACAAAAGCACCCACTGAAGCAAATACTATGAAATCACATGAAAGACATCTGAACAGCAACAATCATTATGACAAAAAAATGTGTATAATTCTGCCACACTGGACAGCAAGTGGAAAAAGACAGGGGTTCAGGCCAAAGTAAGGTACAATATAAAGTATGATATATAAAGCAAGCAAGGTTCAACAAATGTACCCGAAATCACAAAACATACAATGCATAGAAGCAGTACTCCAAAGTTATTATAACAAGTCCAAACTTTATTTGCTTTATATATTATATTTTATATTGTACCTTACCTTGGCCTGAACACCTGTCTTTTCCCACGTGTGTATATTTTCATACAGTGGTTTCCCCACTTTTTGTACCCTGGACAGCAAGACAAATGTACACTTTGCAATTGTAATGAGGGTTTGTCCATTTTGGTGTAAACTTTTACTTGTTAATATATTGTTATTACAGTCTTGTGTCCTCCAGCACTTCCTTGTAGTAATCACTACCAATAAATGATACTCTAAAACAGGCATCCCCAAACTCGGCCCTCCAGATGTTTTGGGACTACAATTCCCATCATCCCTGACCACTTGTCCTATTAGCTAGGGAAGATGGGAGTTGTAGTCCCAAAAAATCTGGAGGGCTGAATTTGGGGGTGCCTGCTCTAAGATGATTAAGGACATCATATATCAGCACTACTGACTACATTGGTTAAAAGTGCATTCTTCATTTTCAAAGACAGTTTATCTATCTACTAGTTTTGAGGGGATTAATAACAGGGTTCCAGTTTCTGAGATAGCAACTTTTATTTTCAGTTTCATTGACTTATCTCTTTTCTTTACAGCAACTGAAAACCCATTATGCTTCTTTCCAATGGTCAGTTCATAAAAGATACTCAACCTTCTGGGACATTGTCCCATTAAATACTCAACCGTAGAACTATCTAAACAGTACGATAGCAGCTGTAACTAATTCCTCTTCTTACTGAAATTGCAGAAAGGATTTGAGGCATTCAGGTCAAACGTGATGGACCACTGAGAGGGAAAATGATCTAAAAATTCAGCACAGAATAGCCATAGCTGAAATTAACAGAAGCAGTAGTCTCTTGGGGGGAAATCCAAAGGGTCTAAGTTAAGTGTACCAGATGGTTAAATCACACATGCAAGAGTTGATTACTTTGTAAGACATGGATTCTAAAAATAGGGCTGCAATTATCCCCAACAAATTGTAATGTGATGATACACAGCAGATGGAGATGTATTCTGCTGCGTTAAGGCATTAGAAGACTGGGCATATGACACACATTCATACCTGATGAATGTATAGGCATTCTCTTGTGAATACACAAAATTGAAGGGGACAGTTCAGGGAGCCCCACATCCCCTGCAGGCTCATCAGGTTTTAGCCATTTGTCAGCTCTACCCCCAGGTATTGGTAGTAGTCTTTATTTTATGTACTGCTTAATGCCAGATGGCTTCTAAGTGGCTTACAAAACAAACACCAATTCCATAGTGTTGTTATGGAGCTAACAGCCCCAGAGTAACAGCCCAGACCTTTCCACCCTCTTTCCCGCTTCCTCTTTCCCTCTCCTTGTTCTCCTCACTGAGGCAGCAGAAATTCCCTTTGTAGTGCATCTCTTCACCCTCTATCTCCTCTGTCTTCCTCCCTCATAATTCTCTCCTTGCATTTAAACCACCATGGTTTCTCTATCCCTTCTGTTTTCCTCATTTGTTGCTCCTGTCCCCTTGAGTGTTCTCACACACTAACTTTTCATGAGCTCCCGGACACTCTCTGTCTCCTCTTATGCTCCCAACACTTTGCATTGTTCTGGAGAAGCCAGGGAACTGTGTGGAGATCAACCCTGCCTTGCCAGGATCCCTTCACAGCACTGTTTCCAAAGGCATTTCTCCAGATCAGTGAGGCCTTATCTTGTGAACATGTCAAGTAATACTAATCCTATGCATGCAATCCTATACATGTCTGCTCAGATGTCAACGGACTCCCAGAATAGAGGAGGTGCCTTGCAGACATGGAAACTTCTTTTTTAGAAATAAATCTGTAACTCAGCTGATTGAGTAACAGAAAAAATAATGTTGGGAGGATGAAGGAAGTCAGCTTAGTTTGAATGAAGAATAGCTTGGCACGTTGCTAAACAGCTTTTACCATATTTTGAAATATAAAGTGTGTCCTAAATAACTGAAGCTTCTGGTATGTGCCATGTGTTTATTTGAATATATTCCAGTTTAGAAAGTTTGCAAACAGAGCTTCTAATACCTGAATGGTTTCCAAAGGTACCTCTCTTGTTTTCCAGCTTTCAGCACCCACGCAAGTGCAAAGATAGCTTTTGCCTCCTGAGCTGAGGCTGACAACTGCAATAAAGTGTGTGGTCCTTTTATGATGTTGACAAACATCCCAAAGGGCACGGTTCAAACAACTGAGCTCATTTTCATTTGTGATGTGACAGCTACAAGCTCATGATGTTCCCAAAGGTCAAAGAGCAGAGCATCTGGTCACTCTTTCATCTAAACCACCATTCTGCATATGGTAAGAGATTGTGCTGAGAAAACAAGGTATATGAATAAAACCATAGGAGACTATGCCGTATCATCTAAGAGGTGCTTCAGCTGTTCAAATCTCCAAGGAGGAGCAGGAGAAATGAATAACTTCTACTGCTTCGTTTCATGCTTTTTATAGGGTAAAGAACTACCCATGTTTCAAGAAAGGGGGGGGTAACCCACCTTGGAGAAGTGGGAGTGGGTTGCAGGTTGAGGGTCTAGCATTGATGATATGTGAATCATCAGGCTTATCTTTCATCAGGGAATGGTGGTCTGAAACTCATTTCTCAATAGGGACAACCAGTGTAATCCATGGTGGAAAAGATGTCCAGAACGTTATTTCCCACCAGAGGTGAAATCCAATGAGCCTTTCTTGTCATAGCTGAAGCCTTCCTCTATTAGATAGGCACCTCCTCCTCCATCCAGAAGGTAAGACCTTTTTTGTTGCAGGGAAATGTGGTAGTAGTCAGAAGGCAGTATTGTGCCCTTCGTGCATAGTTTGACAACCCCTTCTAGGATTTCTGAGCATTTGATTTTAATGCACGAAGTGTGAAAATTATTTTTAAGGGGAAGTATATGAGTGCTCACCAAACATTACACACACACACACACACACTCCTGAGGGCTGCCATCAACAATGTACACTCATGAGTCTAAGGCTGAGGAGCAGTTCCAGGTTTTCTGATTGGTTCATTCAGCTGCTGTTTCCTCCTTTTCTTCTATAAATCAGTATGTTTGAGGAGGTTCAGGAAAGAGAAAAACTGGCAGATGAGAGGGAGGGAAATGGTAAAAGAGGTCTTCTGGTTCTGAACTATTGGAAATGCCCTTTAAAAAAGCAATAATTCTCTCACACGCACACTCTAAAAGAAAGTTAGGGTAGGCCAAGACTAGCGCTGTGCTGAAAGTTCCTCTTGAATTTCCTCCCCTGCCCCCTCTTGAACCACTCTCTATCAATGACTGAGGAAATAAATTGCATTTGAAAATTACCAAAGGGGATATAAAATTTATGTGAAATTATTATGGGCAGGGTGCAGGGTTTTTGTTGTGCTCAGCGTACTTTTGAGGTGCCTGAGGGGTGTTTGTGAGAGATAAGTTAAGCTTAAAAAAGCCCCACACCCACAAAAATTATAAAGAAATCCTAAAGTGAAAGAAGAAGGCAAGCAGGAAGCCTCTTTCACAGGTAGATAAAACTTTTGGTGGGTTTTGGCACAGCACTACCCTAGACTACTCTGATTTGAGATCAACAATCAGGCCTACAATTCTTCAGAAGAATACACAATCAATCCTATCCCTTGAAAGTGCATGCCATGTTATTAGGATTCTTATCTTCCAAATAAAGTAAAGGATGTGCACATATTTTTATGTGACAAATCGTAAGAGGGCACTGATGTTTCATTACGCATTTCCCCCAGAGATTAGGAAACACTTTCATGCGTTTTCACAGTCAATAAGTGACACACACAGAGGCACACTGAAGTCTTAGACTGAAGGGGCAATCCTCTCTGACTTCATGGCATTCATCCAGCACGGAGGGATGTCATTATTTCTGGATATTTAAATAGCATGCGGCAGAACCGAATACTTTGTAATGCGTAGCATCCAAAGAGATTAGTTTATAGCATGCAAATTGATAGGCAATTTTCATGGCTTTTATGGAGGGAATAATATCTCTAAAGCAGATGGGACAAAAAAGTACTGGAGCCAGGTCAGGCATGTGGCTTTCTTGCATTCAGTCTTTGGCAAGGCACTTCAATGTTGATATTAAATTTTCTTGTGTGGGGAAGAGCGGAATTTAATCTCTGCATTAGTTACGTTAGAGGCAAGGCTTTGCCAATTGACTTGACACATAACAGGGAGCCTACCACTGGCTTGGCTGGTGTGTTTAAAGGGAGTGTCGGGGGAAAAACAGAAACTATCTGAATAAAAGAAATAGATATGCAGGGAGCCCACTACTTTGCATGTTAAGTAATCTGGGCTATAGATCAGCCTTGTAAATAAGCCCACAACAGTTACTAGCCTGCTAAGAGGCTAGCCAGTATGAAAATGCAAGGCATTAGCTACACAGAGCCAACAGATGAGATTGTACTGCTTGAGCCATGGCTGCCGCCCCTGGTCATTATTGCAATAGTGGGCAGATCTAACTCTCACAGTGCGTTTTGTTGTTATGTCAACCTTTGAGGTTTGGGGTCCACCTGAGAATGGATTCAAATCTACCTGTCAGCATTCGATTGGGAATTCTTTTCCTACTCAGTTCATACAAGGTGAGACCGGAAAGTTCGGTGAATGGTCACAGAAATCAGACAGCGAGAAATATTTGAACATACATCCCTCACAGGTCTTTAAAGTAGGCCCCCTCTGATACAATGCACCATTGACAACATTTGTAGAACTGTTGGAAACTTCTGGAGAAGTCCTCTTTTCATACTGCTTTCAGTTCCCTCATCACAGCAGCTTGGATGTGTGAAATGTTGGAAAACATGTGCCCTTTCAGTGCAGATTTCAGTTTTGGAAAAGAAAGAAATCTGGTGGGGCCTGATCGGGAGAATATGGAGAGTTGGACAACTCAGTAACCTCAGTAAGGATTTCACATGGAATACGCAATTCTTCTGTCATCATTTGGATGGACAAATGCCAATCACGCATCAATAACTCACAAACTCTGTTGACATTTGCCACTGTTCTGCTTTTTGACAGTCTGCCAGACCAATGGTAATCTTTGATGGTTTGCTGCCCTTCATGGAAACACTTAAACCACTAA